AATGATCCAGTACTGATTAAAATTCATGGAATAAAGAAAAAAATTAGAACCAAAATATTCGATTACACCAAAAATAATTATTAGGAAACAACATCCAATTGATTGGGTCAAACATGAAAAAATACAGGTCGAATCCAGAGTACATGTTAATGATATTCGACCTATTCTTATTTTAAAATCAACATGATATATTATTGTTTAGTTATTTGCTAATATGATCATTAAATGTTTATGTTATGTTATGTTTGTAGTGATTCGATGTTTGATCATCTTTGTTGTATGCGCAACGACTTAGTTGAACTAACATCGATTCGTTATGCTTGTGAACATATTGATATTTTAATTAGCGCACATTAATTATCAATATAATCATCATTTGCATATGATTAGCATTAACAAATATTGGTTATTACAAATACAAATAAATTACACACATGAAATCTTCTCTTTCAGAAGTGTTTCTGTTTTCAACAAACAAAATTATTTATGTTTTAACTTTACACATATTACATATTTTATTAATATACTAACGATATCTATGTATGCAATCTCGATACGTTTATTCCTCATAACGAATGATAAATTATATGATTTATTTGTTTACCTTATTTATATTAATCTTTTTTTCTTTTCACTTATTTTATATCAATTTGTTTAATCTTCTTTTCTTTAGTCATAATAATATTAGATAAATTTGTTTCATATAATTTATGTGATGTCAACAATCCTCCAGCTCATCTTGATGACAATTAAAAATCGAATTGGATACGTGCTGTAAAAAAAAGGCGAAGAAAAATTATCAATATCAACAACAATATCCAACATTTGATATACCAACATCACTTTATGAAATTATATATATGTAAACAAATATACAACAACTGAAACAATGCAAAAAAATGAATTAATCATGTACGAAATTGTAATGAATTTACATTTGATACTGAAGATGAAAAATCAACCAAACAATTAGCATTAATTCAAATTCAAACAATATCTCAACATAATGATATGTTATATGAAGAAATTTCAAATGATGATAATGAATTAAATAAAGCATTACCACTAAATAATAATGAATCATTATATGATTCAATATCAGATGATGATAATGAACCAAATTCTGCATTACCACCAAATGATAATGATTTATGTGTCATCAACCATAATATGGTTGATGATGTCAGTGATTATGAACAAGAACAAC